TAGATTATTGTATTATGTCGTTATTATAACTAATCTTATATAATCATCAACAATATATAAAATAATCAATCCTCGTATTGTCCTAGAACAAAATGAAACTTTTAAATAAAAAGAAAAAATTGAATGTATGAATATTCTCTTGTGTTATTGAATGGTTTCTATATTGTAAGAAAAAAAATTCTAATTTGATCCTTCTTTTATTTCATCGATATGATTTCACTAATTTCTTTTATGTATCTAATCAAACCTGCTTATGTCAACGATTTTTTCTTCTTGTATGTTAATAATACGAACATGTGAGAAGACTGAATATTCTGTTACTTTTCTGTTTGTATAAAAACGAGCACATGGACTTGATCACCTAACAATCAAATAAAAAAGACGAGAGATTTTTTTCCTTGGTACAAATGAGAGGAGAAGCAAATAAAAAAAACATGTAAATTTAAAATCTGTAACTTCAAACGACAATCATAATCATGGTTTTTTAATCGTATTCAATACGATAAGTTTTTATTCATAATATACTTTTAAAAAGACAAGACAATCAACCAATTGTTAAATTTCTCACAGAGAAAAAAATTTAAAGACTAATTATGATGAGAACTTTAGCAAACTTAAGTTCAATCAGTGATAATGTAATTAGTATATCTTCTACTTTATTAAATCATTCTTTTGTCAAAGATAAGAATCACGTATGTAACTATATAATTTATTTTTCACTATATGAATATAACTATATATTAACAGTTATTTTTTGCACTCGATGTTAAGTCACATGGCACAATCACTTGTAAAGTTGAATATAATGAATATTAACATAGTTAAATATCTACTTGATTTATTTTAGTTAGCGAAAATCAATCGAGCAAGGCGAATTTTATTCGTATATCATCAAAAACTTCTGCAATGAGAGTGAAAGAATATTTAATTCAACAATATGACAGCCAAGTAAATATTATGTTTTTTTTTATTTAGCTTAATTGTTATTTTTTTTCTTTCGAATTTTTATAGCATCCATCACTTGTTATTTCAATTGCAGGCAGTGCTTTAGAACGTGGTTTGAAATCTAAATTATTTCGAATATTTCAACAAAATCTTCTAAAAGTAGCTCGAACTACAAGTATCAAAATATTCATAATTTATTCCTTATAATCATTGGATAATATGATTTTCAGATACTTGGATAATAACTGATGGTATGAACACAAATATTACAAAATTTATTGGTGAAATAGTTCGAACAAATCCTAATCCATCTCGATTAATTCATCTGATTGTAAGAATAAAAGAAAATATTGATTTAGAAAAAAAAACCCTAATTCTATTTGATTCATAAATATGAAGGGTATTGTTAATTGGCAGTCATTATCTGATACTAATCAATTTAATGTTCATGGTGATAATGTTTATTATAAAATAGCTAAGAATAATCAAAAAACTGAATTATTTCTTGAATCAAATCATACTCAATTTATTTTTATCGATGATGGACAACAACATCAAATTGGTAGTGAACTTCGATTTCGTACTTGTTTCGAACGAGCTATTTCAATACCACCATTTTCCCATCAAAGCCCATCCAATATTATTAATGAAAAGAATTCATCGCAATTACAATCAGGTTATATTCTATCGAAAAATATGAATAAATAAATTTCTTTATTTTAGTTTTAATTCCTGTTGTTCTTCTTGTTGTAGAAGGCGATCTTGGCACTGTCGAACAAGGTTAAAACGAAATCTTTCAATTTAATTATTGTTTTTTTCTCTATTCTAGTTCATGAAGCTGTTATTCGAAATAATATACCTGTTGTACTGTTAGAAGGTACAGGCAAATGTTGTGATTTATTTGCTAAAGTTTACCATTTATACAATGAATATCATCAAGATTCAAAAAAAACTCATAAGAAAAAAAAGTTTGTGTTCTATTCATTTTGATTCTATTGAATTTTTTCTCTGTATAGTGATGATCAAGTTTTACAATTAGGACAAGATGAATATATCAAAAATAGGATTCGACAAAAAGTTCAAATTATGCTCAATGATGTTAATTCAATATCATCATCGAGTTTAATAGAAGAAAATCTAACAGTAACAACAAAAGATTATTTTGAATTAATCTATGAATGTATTGTAACACATAAAATATTTTTAAATTTCGTTGATTTCAAACGACGTAATCAAGATGAACCAGATATTGATTTAGCTATTTTACAAGCGATTCTTATTGGTAAAGGAAGAATTTTTTAATTAGCAAAAAAGAAATTTGTTTTAGTAACTTCGAGTGATACTTCATCGAAAAATATCGTTGAACAAAAACAAGAACAATTACATTTAGCAATGGAATGGAATCGAGTTGATATTGTGAAAAATTTTATTATGAAAAACGAACAAGATTGGAAAGTAATTTAGTTTTTGAATTGAAAAATACACATAATTTTTAATTTTTTAAGACAATTGATTTGAATGATTTATTCGAAAAAGCACTTATTCAAAATCGAATTGATTTTGTTCAATTATTTCTTGATCATGATTTTCAATTAGAAGATTTTTTCAAAAATACAAACAAACTTTTAATGCTTTACAAAAACGAAGTAATATATTTTTTTTTCTTCTTATAAATTCATTTGTTTTTTAAGAACCATTCTTTAAAAGATGATTCAATCGATCCATTACGAGCAATTTATACAGAAATTATTCAACCATTAGTTGGCGATTCTTTCGATGTTAATGCTGTTCTTTCTCCAGATGAAATATCTCATAATGAACAATTTTATTCTGTTGACACATCATATTCACATTACATCACACGGCATTCTAAAAAACATACTTATGTTAAATTATCTAATCGAAACAATACAAGATCGAAAGGTAGATATTTTATGGTTAGAAAAGTAGGAGGGCTGAGCGCATACGAATACAAAAAGTACTCAGATCAACGCATGTACTCACTTAAATACCTTAGAATTGGTGGTGTACATGATCATGTACTCTCCTATATGTATTGTTATATACCTATGTACACCACTAATCCTAAGATTTTAGACCGAGTACATAGATAATTATTAATACATATTGTGGAGTGCATGAGTTCAAAGTTCTATCTATTCTAAGAGTTATTAGGGAGTAGAGTCTTTTATAGTACTTCATGTGGAGTGCGTGGTATGAAATTGTGGTGGGGGATACCCCCAGAGCTTTCCCCCTTATTCTCATTTGTGTGCTTGCGGCTGTTTTTTTCCCTTTGGTTTTGGCTTTGTCATGACTATTGATGTATTGCTTAAGATGAAATAGATGGTGTTTTTTGTGAGTACATTTTATATTCGTATCCACTCATCTATGGAAAATAGAAAAGAATTTATTTCTTTTATATTAAGTTTTTCTATCATCCGGGAACACTCATATTGATGTCAACAAGGAACTCTTCTTATGGTCAGTATTAACGGGTAAACAAGCATTTGCTTTATTATTTTGGACACGTGGAAAGAATAAAATATGTGAGTGATGAATTATTCAAAATTTTAATTGAAATATACATTCATTATTTTTTTTTCGTTTGGTCAGGTGCTGCTCTCATTGCAACATTGCTTTACAAGACAAAAGCACGCAAAGATAAAGATGCACGTTATAATGATATGGCAGATGAATTTCAAAATTTAGCTGTTGAAATTCTTGAAAAATTCTATCGAACAAATCCATTTACATGTACTAAAGCCATTATTAGAGAAATAGCAGAATTTGGTAATATGACTTGGTTACATTTGGCTGTTATGGCTGAAGCTAAACAATTTATTGCACAACGAGCTGTACAAAATGTACTTAGTGATATTTGGTATATTAGAAATAATTCTATCATCAAATTCTATATTTTATTTTGAATAGGTATGGATATATTGATCATACAGTTGGAAATCGAATGATTATTTTTTCGACTATTATGCTTTGGTATAGTGGATTTCTTCCCTATCATCATGAATTAGTTGAAAGATCTGAATCAATTCCAAATCATGATGTACGTTAGAGAAGAAATATATATCTTCCTACTAATAAATATATATTTTTTTTGTAGGATTATTCTCATAGTACAAGTTTTATTCAATGTGATGCATCTAGTACAAAATATCTTATTAATAAGTAAACAATTATTCATGCATATTAATCTATCTCCTATATGTTCTTTCTATTAGAGCATTGTATACCAAACGTTCAACATTAACACAGAATGAAGACAACGATATCCTTCATGTCATTGATGGCAATCATTGGCAACGGTAGGTTTTTAGAAAAGTATCTGTAAACATTTATCATTTGGAATTTTATTTTAGAAGAAAAATTACTATCCGTCAATATTTTCGAAATATTTTAATGTTCGTACATGCTCCGTATGTTAAATATCTATATTATTTGGTAAGTTTTACTAACAAATTCTTTATATCTTTTTTGAAAAAATATATTTTAGTATTCTCATGTGGCTTTTCTTCTACTTTTTTCTTATGTGATTTTATGCGATTTTTTTCCTCTATACGACTTTCGATCAAATAAATGTCTATCAGGTAGTGAGGAAAATACTTATCCAGATATAAATGATGCTCCTGTTGGTGCACAGCTATTGTCAGATTTTACTACCACAATTAGCAGTAAAACTGTCAATGCGACAATTGAATATGGACTTCAGCGTTACAATCGACCAGCAGCAAGTGAAATTCTACTTACTATTTGGATGTTTACGTTGTTTTGTGAAGAAATTCGTCAAGTAATTATAAGATCTTTTTTTATTTGATTTTGTCAAATAATTATTCTATAATTAGCTTATGTCAACAGAATTACAATCAATGTATGGAAAAATTGTTACATATTTCTCAGTTTTTTGGAATAAACTAGATGCATTAGGAATTACTCTTTATTTTATCGCTTTTATTCTTCGATTTTGGCCAACAAATCAATGTTTTTGTGCTGCACGTATTATTCTTGCAGTTGATTTATCATTATGGTACATTCGTATACTCGATATATTTGCTGCTGTTAAACGACTTGGTCCTAAACTCGTTATGATTGGTGAAATGGTATAATAGAATATTCTTATTTTTCTCTTTATCATCAGTTTTTTTCGATTTCTATGTAGGTACATGATTTAACATTTTTTATGTTAATTCTAACTGTATTCATTTTGGCATTTGGCGTTCCTACATATAGTCTTTTATTTGGTGTTCAACAGTTTAGTTGGCATCTTCCACGTGCGATATTAAATCTTGCTTATTGGCAAATATTTGGCGAATTAGAAGTACTTGATGAAATTGAAAGTTAGTTAATTTACGCATAGAAGAATACGTATGATCATTTGAATTTTATTTTTAGGAAATTATGAAATCAGTGGTTATGTTATGTTTGTTCTATTAGTTGCCTATATGACTGTTGCAAGTGTTCTGCTTATTAATCTTCTTATAGCTATGATCAGGTACAATTTTTCTTTTCTTAGTTCTCAAAAACTCATCTTTCTGATATAATTTACTATCAGATTCAAATTATGTTTTATATATTTTTATTAAGTAACACATTTGATCGTCTACATATGGATACTGATTGTATTTGGAAATTTCAACATTATTATTTGGTATGTCATCATTTAACACGTCCATCTCTTCCCCCACCATTCATTGTTTTCTTACATATCTGGCGTGCAACACTCTATTTTTTTTCACATATTATTAAATTACCTTGGTTTACTAATCAATATATTCAACATAAAAATCGAGCAAAATTTAGTATGTTTTGATAAATTCGTTTTTTTTGAATAGATAGTATTTATGATTTTGTAGAAATTGTTGTCGATGAAAAATTAAGAAGTAATATTGAATCAATTGAGGATATACTCGGTAATGAAGTTTGTTATTTTTATTTGAAAACGAATCGTAAATTACTTGATCGTCAAAGTGATTTTCAAGCAGAACGAGTGTAAATATTTTTTTTTCGAAATTTTATATCATGTAAGGAGTAAAGATAATTTCTTGTTTTTAAAGACATTCACCACAAGAAATGGTATTGAACAAGATGAAGATATTGGAAAATCAAGTTCAAACAATCACAACTCAAGTAAATTCTTATGTCAATTATTTTTCATCTTGAAAATTCTCTTTTTCTTTTTATTGATATTATAGCAAAATAACATGTTCGAATACTTGGAATGTCTCATGAATGGATTAAAAAAGATCGGTGGAGATGATATTGAAATGCCTAAACGACATCAATTTGATTCAGAATGAACATTTATATACTTGATATTCTTCTTCTCATGAAATAAAACGATATTGCAAAATTGTCTAACTAAAATATGCATATTTTGTTCATATCATCAGTTATAATCCACGTATCTGAAAATCGTCAAGTGCAAAAAATAATTGTTAATATATAATTATAATTACATACGTGATTCTTGTCGTTGATAAAAGATTGATTTAATAAAGTAGAAGATATACTAATTACATTGTCACTGATTGAACTCAAGTTTGCCAATGTTCTCATCATATAATTCGCCTTTAAATTTTTTTCTCTGCGAGAATTTTAACAAATATTTTAATTGTCTTATCTTTTTAAAAGTATATTATAAGCAAAAATTTATCATATTGAATACGATTAAAAAACCATGATTATGATTGTCGTTTGAAGTTACAGATTTTAAATTTACATGTTTTTTTATTTGATTGTTAGGTGATCAAGTCCATGTGCTTATTTTTATACAAACAGAAAAGTAACAGAATATTCAGTCTTCTCACATGTTCGTATTATTAACATACATGAAGAAAAAAACGTTGACATAAGCAGGTTTGATTAGATACATAAAAGAAATTAGTGAAATCATATCGATGAAATAAAAGAAGGATCTAATTACAAATTTTTTCTTTTACAATAGAAACCATTGAATAACAGAAGAGAATATTGATAATATGCATATATTCAATATAAATAGATTGAATTTTTTCTTTTTATTTAAAAGTTTAATTTTCTTGTAGGACAATACGAGGATTGATTATTATATATTGTTCATGATTATATAAGATTAGTTATAATAACGACATAATACAATAATCTA